GGCTAAGACCCCTGACCCCTGTCTTGTCTTATGAGGGTTTCAGAAAGCATGTGTATATGAGTCGCAAATGCGGTCCATCAGGGTTCCTATCATGGGCATAAAGCTTAAGCAATAGCCAGTTCTGAGGACCGAATGTCCCTAAAAACGATGTGTAGAGCCTTAAGCATCTGTGTTCAGTTTTAACAGACTCACTGATGCCCTTCTCCACCTTCTGAGCCGAACAGAGTAAGCGATCGACCACCATGCATCCAACAGCAGCTGGAAAACAGGACCTACGACAGCAATGTGAAAGGCAGTGAGAGCATGAGAGCTTTCCTGCTCATGAACAGGATTAAATATGAAGTGGAAAAGAACTTAAATAGCCATGCTTAACTCTGCTCTCGGAGGTCATTGTCAACTTAGTATACAGGGTCCAGGAGTGTCAAGTTCCTCACTAGCTTTCATTATATACCAGGGATCATACAGAATGTTCTTTGACAGACAGAAAAATCAGGGCCAAGGAAAATCAAGATGATCCCTAAACATGCATTAGGAGAAGAAGGCAGAATGGTAAAAATGCTTTGCACAGAAAAACGTGTGCATGTCTGTGCACGTGCACAACAAACAACCGAGGTCAAGTGAGCGGAAAACAGGGTGGAGGTGGAAGGCCATCTGTGACACTCAAGGACATGTGGTCAGTAGAACAGCAAATGTTTCTGGCCACATGTTATGAAGAGCAAATGCGCTGTTGTGGTGGAGTCTAACTCGTGACCTGTCAGTAGCTCTCTAGATGAGAAGTGTGATAGGAGAGTCATCATCTTTAGGAAGCCAAACAGCCAGGACAACATTTCTAGGCCTTTCCCAGATGATTCTTCAAAACTCAACAGTCTCCTTTCACACTGCAGAACACTGAGGCAGAAAGCTATTTTTTTTTGTTTGAAAGACAGATGACAAATTAAGACCTAAAATCAAGAAGCCAGCATCTACGTGCAGTGATACACACCAGTAATCCTAATGCTAGGGAAGCAGAGGCAGGAAGGTCATGAGTTAAAGGCTAGCCTGGGTTACATTGTTGTTGAATATTACTTTAAGATGTGTTACATTTGTTTATGCTGTGGAACATTCATTTTAATAATGCAAAGGTGTGCTGCATTCTTCAATGCTGCTTTGGTTTAACTCTGTGTTACTGTACCTGTCTAAAACACCTGATGGTCTAATAAAGAGCTGAACAGCTGACAGCTGGGCAGAGAGAACGGCTAGGTGGGGCTGGCAGGCAGAGAGAATAAATGGGACCAGAGATCAAGGATCAAGAAGAGGAAGGAGCAAGACAAGAAGGAGTCAGCCACCCAGCCACCCAGCCACCCAGTCAGACACAGAATAAGACAGAAAGAAAAGATACACAGAAATAGAGAAATGTAAAAGCCCGGAGGCAAAATATAGGTGGGATAATTTAAGTTAAGAAAAGCTGGCTAGCAACAACCTAAGCTAAGGTCGGGCATTTATAAGTAAGAACAAGCCTCCGTGTATGATTTATTTGGGAGCTGGGTGGCAGGCCTCCAAAAGAACTAAAGAGCAAAAGAGTAAAACACCCAACAATGCTACATATTAAAACTGTCATAAAGCAAAAACAAAAAATCCAATAATAATAATGATGCAGAAAGATCCAAGACATGACCGAAAACTCACATCTCTCAGGGTTCTAGCTGCTTACTGCCCAAGATAAAGGAAAATGGGGTTTGGGATATACAGCATACTGATATGTAATGAAGTATTTTTAAGGGAAGAAAATGAAGTCATGGAGCCCGAACATAGTCTTCTTTTTCTCACACTAATGGACGTCCACAGAAAAAGCCTGTTATGTTAAGGAGCCAAGCAGGGTTCATTTGCTGGAAGTTGGATTCTAAGGTTAGAAATTCAGTATTAAGAACCTTGGCCTTAACTGGGCAGAAAGTGTTCTTTTATTTCTTTTTTCTTTTCTTTTTTATTTCATTTATCTGTCATCGTGTTTTTGTTTAATTTTGGAAGGCATTCTTGAGCATAGCCAGAAAGTTAATCTTGAAGCAGTGTCTAAGGAAACCTAGAACAAGAGATTTAAGAAAGGATAGAAATCTAATTTATAAATGTTTACTTAAAAACACGGGACTTACATTCTAAACATCTGTCCCACAGATAAGTGTAGTCCTTACCCCTCATCAAGAAAGCTTCTCTTTGCAACAGAGATCATTACAGAAAATCACAACCCATGAAAATGCAGAGCTGTGGAGCCCAGATCCAGGGGATACATTTATAAAACAACTCCCAAACTAAGGCTCAGGAAATGTGGAGGAAAGAGGGGAAGAAGGATTTTAAGAGCCAGAGAACCAAGGAGTTTGCTATGAGACTGTGTCTCTTAGGAACGTCAGAAGCTACACCCATCAAGTCTCACCAACATGACTTTCTAAACATGACCTGAACAAGGACAACGATAAACATGGCAAAGTGGACTGGAGAAAGACCACAGGGCCTCAACCCTACAAAAAGAACTACAGGCAACCAAGGAATGCTGAGAGTGGGGAAAACAGTCCTCCCCCAAGGTCAGCCTTGAAAACATAGACATACAAGTAACATTATGGAGACTGAGCAGATGATATTTAGGAATGTGTGTGTGTGTGTGTGTGTGTGTGTGTGTGTGTGTGTACATGTACATATACATTTGTAACAACAATTAATGAAAAAAGGACATAATTTGAAAGAGAGAAAGGAGGGGTATATGGAGGGTTTGGAAGGAAGAAAGGGAAGGGAGAATTACATTACAATCTCAAAAAATAAAAGGAATTTTTGAAAGGGGGAAAAACAGAGGAGGCTTGACTAGAGAGATGGTTCAATAGTTAAGAGCACTGGCTGCTCTTCCAGAGGACCCAGGTTCAATGCCCAATACCCATATGATGGCTCTCAACCATCTGTAACTTCAGTTCCAGGGGATTCACCACCCTTTCTGGCCTCCACGGGCATCAGGCACCCACAGTGTGCACAGATATACATGCAGGCAAAACACCTATACACATAAAATAACCATTTTATAAAAACTTGAAAACAGAGGAGGAGCCATGCACACTGACTACTGCATGCCTATGATCCAAGAACTTGTGGCTGAGGCAAGAGAATCACGAGTTTGAGGCCAGCCTGGGCTCCTCGGTGAAACCAGAAATGAAGGGTGAAAAAAATGAGTGGAAAAGGAAGGAGCGTGGAAGGGTCCCAATGCTGCAGGACAGCAGAGAGAGGCTCTTGAGATGAAGTAGACATTGTCGGGAGGAGGTAACACACATAACCCAGGGTCCAGAGACCGGGGAACAGTGAAATGTTCAGCAAAGACAGAAAAACAAAGCGCAGAGCAGACAGCCCCTTGCAGATATTTCCTATAGAAGCCAGTGGAGCTCTGAAAGCTTTTCCGGCCCTCTGAATGGCATTTTGGACATGTGATCAAAAGACCCCGGGCTAGACTCCAACAATACCCAAAGGCCCCTTTCTCTGTCTACCCTTAGAAGGTCTCAAGCTTGCCAGGCACTTCCGGAACCCAGCACACTCTCTTTCATCAGATGGAAGCTTTGGCTCCCCTGTGCTGCCCCTTCAGACCTGCAGCTAGGAAGCCACCTGAGATACGGGCTTCTATAAAGTGAATACAATAACGACCCCATCAAAGTAGAAGCAGTTACACTCCAGAACTCTGCCAGGAGAGATCAGATACTTATGGAGGAGGGGGGTACTCACTCATGTCTAAATGAAAAATCGCTTAAAACTGCTCTAAAGCTCCAGCTAAATGAATTTTTGGAAGAACGGTTTTCCCAAAGTCGAAGCCTGGGTGTGATGAGATACAGTATCCAAAGTGCACCTGGCAGCTTCATTTACATCCCACACAATTCTGGCTCCCACCAGCTCTCTCAACACAGTAAACAGGGAGGCAAGCAAGAAAACGGCCCTTTCTAACTCTGCAGGGCATATATTTATAATTACTAATGTATGATACTAACTTTAAAACCATTTGACCAAACCAATGGCTGCAGCTCATTAGCAATCATATATATCATCATGAAATCCATAATAATGATAAATAATCCACAGTAAATGAATACATATATAATTACATGCCACTTTGAGAATCGAAAACCTAGAACTGGAAAAAAAAACTGTAGGTAATCAAAACTTAGTGAACATAAGGTAGACTGGAAAAGGACGCCACGTCTTTTATGAGAAATGAATTACATCCCGTAGACATTCAGCCGACCTTTACAATCAAATGTGGGGTTGAAACACAGTTTGGTCAATAAAGACGGGGGGGGGGGGGGGGGGGGGGGGGGGGGAGAGGGCGCGGGGGGGGGGCGGGGACTGTGTCTGCACTGCCAGCACCGACATAAAAACTCCAGGCACAGTGGGGCACACCTATAACCCTAGGATTGGCTAGCACTGGGGTAAGGGCATGGTGAGTGCCCCCCTGGAGCCCACTGGCCGACCAGCCTAGAAGAGCCAGCTTCGGGTGCCATGAGAGACCTGTCTTAAGAAAACCAGTGGAGAGAAACTGAGGAGAGACCCTTGCCATCGTTCTCCAGCTCCACAAGCCCATGCGCACTCGTGAATACTATTCCATACACACACCACATGTTTTTATCTCATCATTTCAAACTAGGCTTTAAAACTGACTATCCCTCTTTTGGAAAGACCCAAAGGAAATTAATACAGCTATTTCATGTCTCCAGTATTTAAACCTTGCCAGCATTCAGTCTCTAACCTCTTGGAGGGTCAAAAAAAAAAAAAAGCTGCTGCATGCAAAACTGAAACCATGAAGGCTCCGCGCTGTTTCCACACCCAAACACGCAACAGCACCCTGAGGTTAACCAGAAAAAAGGCCCAATGCCCGAGCGGTGAGGATCGGATCATCTCTAAACTGCAAGCCAGAGTGTGTGAGAACCTTCTTCTAGTTTCTTTATGGTTTTCATTTCTAACTGGGGTGATGATCCTTCACGGTGATGGGAATGAATGGAGCTTACCTTCTTGGCTCTCTGGGCTATGTCTGGCGTTCTCGTCAGCAACTTCTCAATCAGGTACTCTCTATTCTGCAAAACAAATAACCCCAAACAGTTTAACACCTAGTCAGATGCCCGAAAACTCACAGCAATTTCAAAACAGCAGATTGACTTGGGAGGTTTTAAGCATGTTACCTTGGCTTTCTGGAAGAATTTGCATTTTAAAAGTTCTGCTGCTGTGGGCCTGAAAGATCAATAATAAATTAGAGTTGAAACAATCACCACATAATAAATATACTGCCTTGATCCTACAGCTTAACCTTAGAGCATTTCTGGAAGACTGACCTTCGGGTGAGCAAAACCAACAACCAAGTTAATCACAAGTTGGCACCAAATAAAGCAGTGTCTGTTTTCTAGATCTTTCTAAATCCCTCCACTGCAAAGCAAATCAGCTCTTGTGAGTTAATATTTGGCCACACCAATTTTCCAGCTTCCATTCTTATACTTCAGCGTGTCAACTTGGAAGGTTAGCAGACCAACCTCTGGGAGGTAAATGCCTACGTTTGTAAGAAGCCATACAACTACAATAGAACCCTGTCAAAGGAACTCAGGAGTCTGCCATGTTCTGTGAATCTCAAGGAGCAGCAATTACCGAAAAGGGCTCACAGAGAGATCGTAGGTGCCAGCTCAGTCTCCATAGTATTGAAATGACTGCTTCAGTGTATATGGACCACTGTTTTTAAAAAAAAAAAATCAAATGGCATGGTGATTAATAAAATGCAAATTCACGTAAAAGCATTTCTGGATATGTCCACTTCCCTGCGGTATCATATAACTTGTAACTTATGCTGTATATCCCATAAACTCAAAGTTAGGTCCAGAAGGCTCAAAAACAGTTTCATCACGCATCTAAATGCTAGCAAGACTGCTCATAAAATTACACATGCAGAAACATTTCAGACTGCAGATTTTGGACAGGGGACACGGAAGTGGCCGAGTCTGTAAATACTCCAGAGTTCAGAAGACTCTGAAATTCAAAATACATCTTAGATCTGGCCTCCTCGAGCACTACCATGAACTCCTCAGTGCAGCCCCACAGAAGCGGCAACCATTAGGCTAGTCCACTCTCAGAGATGCTAAGTTTAACTGACTGGTCCCCAGGCTCCAAAGCTCAGCATCAGAAGGTCTGCTCTCCCCACTACAATTAGCCAGTGTCCTGTTGAGCGATGTCTTGGCAACTGTATAGGTATCCTGATGCTGAAAAGCTTCCCCTGTGGTTTACCATCTTGGACTTGAATATTTCATGGGAGGTAGCCGAACATTGATTTCCTACTTTTAGCATTCTTTCTATGTTCAACTGACAATCGTCCATAAAGAATAGCTTCCTTTGTCAATAATTCCTTAATTAGGAATCCATTTCACATCAGCTTTCTCTAGCTGTATCTATAAAAGAGGGGGGAAAGGGGGGAAAGCTGCCCTAATACCCATCCATGTAAGCTGGAGATGAAGGTTAATGGAAGAGCACTTGCCAAACATCACAAAGGCTAAGTCTTACATTAAGAAAAGGAAAGAAGGGAGGTGGGAGGGAAAGGAAGGAGGGAGGGAGAGGGAGGAGGGGCAGAGGGAGGGGAGGTTGTCAGATAATCTGCTAGCTGATTAGTCCCTCATCTTCCAAGAGGAAACAGCAGGAGAGACCAGGGAAGTGCTCTAGATCAAAACAGACTTAAACTATAAAGCCCAGTGCAGCTCGCTGCCCTTGAGTGGACACCGGGTTTGAAAGAAAGTAGCAAAAATCACAAAAGATATTTAGAAATAGATCTGCAAATTCACGACATAGAAGACACCTGTAAAAACACCACTCATGTTCTGGAGTGTGGGAAAACATCATCCCTATGTGGAAGCACACATGACCTTATTCGGAAGGAACAAGCAGTGTTACTTTCGAATAATTCAGTAAATAAATTGTGCACATACAAAGGATGGGAGATGCTAATAAAGATGGAATGGGTGAGACTGAAGTAAACCTGGAGCCATTGCTCACATTTTCTTATGTTTTTACATTTTTATAACAGCACATTGGAAGGGAGAAGAAAGCATCATGGGACATTATGATCCTCAAAAGCTAGTTAAAGTACAAAGGGAATTATACTGGGGTGAGGGTATGGGTTTAGACATTGTCCTTGTGCCTAAAATGATAGGAAGCTATGGGACTGAGAGGCTTCACCAAGGTGCCCAGGCTCCAAGAGAATTGGAGAACATCAACAAACATATGCGTGTGCCACCTGCCTAAGTCTACAGACCCATAAACTGTATTTCTGTGCAAGGAAGATTTTTATTCTAATTGTTACCACTTCCTTCAAATTGGTGGTGGCGCACGCCTTTAATCCCAGCACTCAGGAGGCAGAGCCAGGTGGATCTCTGTGAGTTCGAGGCCAGCCTGGGCTACAGAGTGAGTTCCAGGAAAGGCTCCAAAGCTACACAGAGAAACCCTGTCTCAAAAACCAAAAAGAAAAAAAAAAGAATATTAGGTACCCTCAAAGAAACCCAAGTCATGCATCCACTACAACAGTTGGTAATTGATAACTGCTTTGAGTAAACAAGGATCTAAATGACAGGAGGGCCATATACCTTGGTATTAATGCACTCAATGCACGAGTTCACATCTTGTTCAAAAACCAAAGAACTTGGAGTTGAAAAAGGACCTAGCCATTTTACATGATGCATCGGTTCCTGTTTTGCTGAATATTCGTCTTGCTCATCAGCCTGTGTTACCTATCCTCAGAGGAGCAGGCTCCTGAAAGCAACTAAATCAAGCTCCATGGTCCGAAATCATCCGAGGCTGTCTCCATCAATCTTACACGCTTTTGCCTTCAACTATGATGGTGCTCTCATGTGTCTCTTCTTGCTCATGACAGAGCATACCCTGTTATTCTTGAAAATGATTCTTCAAAATGTTTCATGACCAACTAGCCCACCTTGCACAATAAGTTAAGAGACGACTTCGATGTCAACATCTTTTGGAACTTTCTCCCAGCATCTATGAGTAGAATTCATCGCTCCCAACTTGGTGCTCGGGAATTGCGCTTTCCCACTCTCCTGTATTTATCTCAATCTGTGATCCCTCTCTGGTAGCTCCACTTTATCGTGTTATGAGCTCTTCTGAGGCAAAGAGCTTTAGATTTCATTTTTATACTTGCTCGCCCAGCACAGAACGGCAAACTCCCATAGCTCTATTTCACACCCCAGCAGGAAGTGAAAGCGGTGCTGGTAGACACTGGAGCTGGGACTGTCACTCCTGTGGCTAAGTTTAGCCAGCACTGAAGCATCTGCTGGACACGGGGAGGAAGAGAGGGAAATGCATTGAAAACGGGGCTCACACTAGCCAGACAAAGAGTGGGGACAGCACCGGTGCTGAGTTGGGGAGCCAAAATGATTTTCCTTTTTCTCAGTGACCCCCTCATTCTCCCTCTGCATGCCAAAGGTCAGATGTTAAGCGAAGGTAGAGAGAAGGCTGTGGAATGCTGGGCTGACCTTGAGAAACAGGACTGGAAAAATTCTTTCCTTTCCAGAGAAAGGTCATTTCTATGACAACCAAAAGATGTAAAGGAGGGGAAAAGCATATTGCAGAGAAAAACCTTTTCTCCCCACTCCACTCCATCCTTATCCTTCACAAACCATAAGGTGAGGGGGGGGAACGGCTTTAAAAGCCCACACTCTTCTTTAGGTTTGTTTTGTTGTGCTGTGTTTTGTTGGGGGTGGTGGTGTTTTTAATAGGCACTCTAATTCAATGTAGTGGACAATTCAACAGCGGGTCACGGGGTCCTTCTGCACTGAAGTCAGCTCAAGTGTTCACAGCTTCGGGGTAAAACCCCACGTGTGCCAAGCTACCACCATGGGAAAGAAGGGGAAAGGGGTCCTAGAGAAATGAGGAAGATGAAGAAAGGATGAGACCAACAGAGGTGCCTGGCGCCCGCCTGAACTTAGCTTTGCATGCCTGGTTATTTATTCACTGTCATTTTATGCAACAGAAACTACCACTATGTACTTACTGTGGAGCCATCAACCCTGCCTGTCTTTTAGCTGAGTTCTACTGGAGCAGGGGATCTTCCTGGCCACCTCCCACATGGCTGCTGACCACCGCCCAGCAATGAAACAGGTAATATAAACAGAAACACTGTTTCACAAGAAATGCTCAAGTGCCACCAGTACCTGAACTTGTCCAGGCTGTGAATGATGACTGAATCTGAAATCCTTAAAAACAATACAGTATTCTGCTAGTACCAACGTTCTCAGAAGAAAATCGCTCAATGGATTCATCTGATATATATGGCTGGACCAAAGTCCACTGAGACTTAAAATGAATCTCAAAGGCTTTGGGATGAGTATTATCCAGTTTAAACAGCTCTAACAGCATGCTTTAATACATTCTAAGAGCTTACTGACCTCAGGCAGAACTGCTTTGCACAGCTCTCCCTCCCTTGGCAAAGTAATATTCCAGTCTAACTCATTGCTGACACACTCATCTATGCAACATCTACCCGCTTGGTGCTCAAAGTGAACGCTTGCTCTTCTTATAGGTTGCCATCATTGGGAAATAGGTAATCTGTAAGATCAAGGCTCATTTTATTAGGAAATAGCAAGACATTCTGCTATGCAAATACAGGCAACTCTGCAGGAGCTAATGCAAAGCACAAACCTCCACGAGGGATGGGGCTCCTACACCTCAAGTCTGTGTCACCAGGAAAGTACAGAGCCTGGCATGAGAGCGCAGGAGTGACTCTGTCCTGGGTATTCTGCTGCTGTGTTTGTCCCTGGCTGCTTAAGTCTCTTAGCAGCAGCACTAGGGCCTGGGCGCCTACAAACTGTGCTGAGATTGCAGGGAGAGGAGTTACATTCAGACAACACATATACACAAAGATGATCCAAGTTTTCCTTCAACTCCTTAACCCACTTGAATCTGGTTTCTGTTCCTGAAATTCTCTTCAGAGGATTGAAATCACCTCCAAACTGCAAACTCCCATGAGTCTCCAGATACAGAGATGAGTGCCCAAGTCCTTCTAAAGTTTTGAATTTGTTGTGTAAGTCTGTGGTGATATTGTGTTCCCCAAAATATTGTGCACCCTAATAAACTTATCTGGGGTCAGAGAACAGAACAGCCACTAGATATAGAGGCCAGAAAATGGTGGCACACATGCCTTTAATCCTAGTATTCCAGAGGCAGAGATCCTTCTGGATCTCTGTGAGTTCAAAGCCACACTGGAAACAGCCAGGCGTGGTGACAAGAACCTTTAATCCCAGTACCAACCATAGAGGCCTGGAGGTCTGTATAGACAGGCAGTGACGAGGAAGTCATGTGGCTGGGCTTAGAGCCAATGAGAAGGCAGGAAGCAGAAAGGTATATAAGGCATGAGAACCAGGAACTAGAGCTGGTTAAGCTTTTAGGCTTTTGAGCAGCAGTTCAGCTAAGGAACTGGCAAGGTAAGGTGGCTGTGGCTGGTTCTGCTTCTCTGATCTTCCAGCGTTCACCCCAATACCTGGCACCAGGTTTGTTTTTATTAATAAGACCTTTTAAGATCCATGCTACATAATTCAACCAAAGTATACAGTGTAACAGTGCTAAAAATTTAAACAGATAGAGCACTAGCATACTGCCATTAGTATGTAAAATCTCAGCAATTCTCCCTGCCAGGGTGGAGGCAAATGATGAATGTCAGTCTCTATTTCCAGAGCTCTGAAGCAGGCCCCAGGCAGGCTGCTGCCTGCCTCAAGTGCCATTTCACTGCATCCTCAGAGCAATTCTTTGATTGCTAGACCCATCATACAGACAAAGAAATTAAGTCACAAGAATGAGGATGAAATAGAGCTAGGAATCCCATCCAGTGTTGAAAAAACAGCAGGAAGAGAATGGAAAGGAGAAAAAAACAGAAATACTGGAAAATCTTAAACAGCATGAACAGAGCAGAAGGGCAGAAGGGACTAAAATCACTCTGGAACAGTCACTGCTCAGAAGTTCGTCATGTGCATAGAGGCTCATCTGTATATTTCATACTGCACGTGTTTTTAATTACATGTTACATAAAAATAAATTCAACAGTATACTTCTCCCCGTCCTCACAATCCCTAATGACTTTTTATATGTTTGTTTTTGCTTTTCCCAAACTCCTCACATACATCTTCAGTGTCCATGTCTTTTCCGAAGAAGAAAGAGCCTCTGGGGAAGTGGGTGCAGCACTGTCAGCCTGCAACTCTTCTAAAAGAGAGCAGTTGCAGTTACAACGACAAGGTTACAGGGAAAGCACTCGGAAGGCCTTCAGCTACTCACACATGCCGACCAGCGCAGAGCGAGAGCGGAGAGGGGAAAGGCTTCATGCACACAGGAATGCATAAGTGTGTGGCTGCCTCAAGGACCTGTCTCTGCATCTCCTCTCTCAGTCACTGTTTCACAGACACACACATAGAGGGAATCTGGTATCAGAACCCACACAGAGACTAAAACCTGGAAAAGTCTTTCAGTTTATTAAGAAACAAAAAGGGTCTGTTAAACACATTGCACATAAATCTAAATTATTTTGACCAACTCACAAACCTGTCACTAATAGCACTAACAACTCCACCCAAAGGAATGGGTTTTTTCTGAGTTGTGTGACATTACTCATAACAGCCACTAGATGGATCTCAACTCGTTCCAGAATCCCAAAGGTTGTCAGTGAAGTCCCAGAACTAACCAGAAACACAAAGAGGGCTCTCACCAGGTGTGGCTGGGAGCTCTACCAGTTCTCTGTAATGACAAAATCTGCCTTGTGGTAACAACACCAGATACAATGGAAGGGGAAGCAGATGCTGAAGAACAAAATTAAAATCTAAGGGCATTCTCACCAAAAGGAAGGTGGAAAAGTAACCCCAGGGAAAGATCAAGGAGCAGAGAGGGGGAGGGGGAGAGACAATCACTATAAATCAAACATAACAACAAGAGAAATGTCAAGCACAGTCTGTAGGTATTGTTTGCAAGACATAATTTAAAGATTTGCAATAGCAAATAGTCACAAAATAAAAACAAAACAAAACAAAAACAAAAACTGTGCCAAGGCCAAAGAAGCATGGCCTAACTCACAGTAATACTAAAAAAAAAAAAAAAAAAAAAAAAAAAAAAAAAAAAAAAAAAGGTTAAAAAGCATAATAAGTTGCATAAAGAATTTACCACTAGAATACAGCAATGCCTTCTAACAACAGGGTTCCATCCCTGAATGGGAGACTTCCGGAAGAAAATGTATTATTTTTCTTTAAGCTAAGTAGAAAACCAGAGCCTTAGGTGAACTATGATATACAGAGGACTTTCCAAGTCTGTTGAGGAAATGGCAGGCACACAGAGCCATGTCTCTTACAAGGAGCAAGGACTGTCTGTGATTTGCATCACTGAAATTCTCCTTTAAGTGATAAAGGACTCTGCGTTCCATTGCCCATGCCAGGGTATTTCAAAGTCTCGGGATGTAAGAGGAAGAAAGAGATTTAAAAGAAGAAGAAAAAAAAGAGTTGTATCAACACAGGGCAGTAACATAAGAACATGGAGGAAACATTAAATTAATTTAAAGCCTGCTTCCGTTTACATGATTAATCTTTCTAGGTAAGCTTTTCCCTGCTGATAGTCTTTTAAAAAGCCCACACAACTTGTTCTGCAACTAAAAGGAAGCTCATGCAAAATTCACTAACTCAGCCTGGTTCAGACTGGAGCTAGCCGGATGTTGGGATCCTGAGAGGTCAGCTCAACCTACAGAGTGCAGGATATTAGCTCAGTGTCCCTCGACGCTATCAATGCCTTCTGATTTCTGCTTTGTTCCTTTTCTTTGGTGAGAGTTGCGTACACCTAGCAAGCAAGATCAATTCTTCCCTCTCCTCCCCCCTTGTCCTACACCAGCTTCTCTCCCCACAGACTGTATCAAACAGCAACCAGGGGCCCGAGCAAGGCATCCTTTTCACATCCAGAAGCATAGCTTGGTCAGGACTCAAACCAGGTCATTAGGTCCCAAAGTGGGTCCAACATACCTTTTGGAAGGATCTTTCTGAAGACACAGTGAAAGTAACTTTCTGAAGGACTTGCCATATTTCTTCATCATTTCTTTATCCTCTACTCCAGTTTCTAAAGTGGGCGGGTCATTTTGCAAAGTCAACATCAGCACCTACAGCCAAAGAAAGGTGGAGACAGTCTCTGCTGAATATAAGTGACAATGGAACGGTCAGCTTTTTCTGTCACAAAAGCACCCAAGTCCTTCCTTGACTGGGTTACCAGCATGCTTGTCCCATAATTAATGGTCCAAAACTTGAGTTACTGAAAGGATCCATTTGTCTTTGCAAATCTGCCCACGCCCTCCTTAACCTTGGATATTCTCATGGACAGAACTTGGGAAATTTGCTCTGTGTGTTAAGAATGGTCTCTCAAAGCCACAGGGAAAGACTTTTCTGGGAAGTAGCTCTCACAGGACCTCAGGGAACACTTGCTACAGTGCAGGCTGGTTGGGAAAGAACCGTGGTTGGGAGAGAAAAGGACATTCAAGTGTGAAGGCCATTCATAAGTACAGAACCCGCTGTACTCAGGGCTCCTGCAACATATTAGCAACCCTAAAAATAAAACCCCACTATCCCATGAGGTAACATGATTTTCTCTTAAAGAGAAAACAATATGAGAAAATTGTGAAAGGGGCTTGGTGAAAATTCAAAGACTAAGATACTGATGATGGTCATGACAGAATTATGAGTTACCTATCAAAAGCCTGTGCTACATGGCAAGGGGCAAAGCAAACTACAGTTTCAAATCAAAAGGAAGTAATTCAACTCCTTCACACTAAGAGAATTATTTCCTGTAAAAGCAAGCAGAGTGAGTACATCGCATACTATTGACCTACAAATTGAATAAGCCTCCTCAATGCATAAATCAGGCCTAATTTATGCCAATTCTATGCATGTCAAGACTCCTTTCAAACACTCTGAGACATGTGAATAGATGAATGATAAAAGTAACTGTTGTTGGTGGAGTACAACAGCCCACAGGAGAATGTGGGCTACTGTGAACTCCTGAAAAAGTCCTGGGGGACTTCAAGCTGGGACTAACAACTGCCTCTCTAGACTCAGGTGGAAAAAGTAAAATGGAGACAGGGAGGCAAAGAAACATAAATAGAAAAAGATAAATATGAAAAAAAAAAAAACAGATAAAAGAAACTTCTCTGAATTATCTAGTATTTTTTCCATAAAATCTCTTCTATGGTTTATACTTGTTTCAAATTTTCCACTAAAAAAAAAAGTCACAGAGATAGAGATGTGCATATATGCATTAAGTGTATCATTGACATCTTAACTGTATCGAACATTTATACAGAAAGAGAGCAGGTGGGGGTGTGGCTCAGCAGCACTGTATGCTCAGAACAGGTGACGTCCTGGGCACAATCGCCAAAGACAATTTAAAAGAAAAATAAGAAATTAACACCACTAAAACATCAGCAGGGACTATTTGTGGCTGGTGAAATCGTGGGGGATTATTCTTCCTTGCTATTCTTATTTGTACTTCCAAGTTTTCTACAGTAAGAAAGTACATTTGGGAGGCAGAGGCTGGAAAACAACCAGGGCATCAAACAGAGCCTCACATTCCCTGAACAAGTGCTCTGTCCCTAAGCTCTCCCCTTGGCCCAGCTTAAACCAGTAAACTAGCGAACCTTTCTGCCCTCAGATTTTAATTCTGTGAGGTTTTCTAAAAATTAAATATGAAAAATAAAACAAGCACAGACTAGAGTTTTGATGAAATGTCTTCATAATTTCCACTGAACATCTGCAGCCTCAGAACAAAATCTGGCTGGGGGAATTAAAAATGCTGTTACCATCTCAGAGGTAGAGCAGATAGAAAAATAACAAAAACCTGAAAATAGTACCCAAAGTATATGTTGCTTCAAAACACTGTGACTCACTCACATCAGATGAGCCACAACACCACACTGTGAGCAGGTTGAAAATGGTATAGACTATCTTTATTTATAAAGAAGAAAAAAAGGGGGGGCATCCTGAAATCCATCTGCAAACATAATAGCCCTCTAATACAGTCTTAGATTTCACTGGGAGACCTGAGATTGTCCTTCTCTTTCAGAGTCAGTAGTCAAAACTACGGAGCTGTTCAACTCTGTACTCAGTCACAAAGCAGGCCACCGCACCACCTCTCTTAATTTGGGGCATGAGAACATGAGTCAGCCTTCAACTTGGCTGCATTCCTCCACTAACTCCCACAAGTCTAAGAGGAAAATAAGCATGTTCAAGAGAACCAGAGAACCCATGCACCCCATCACAGTTCCAAGCTGACGAGTCACCCCAGCAGTCATTACTTTCATTGGAGGGTATTTGTGATAGGGCGCGGCTCCAGTCGCTAGTTCAATGGCAGTTATTCCGAAACTCCACATGTCAGCCTTGAAGTCATAGCCTCTCACCTAAGAGGAAAAAGATCGAGAAAAAACACTCACGATGACGTAGCAGGCTTGTTGCACATCACTACATTCATTATTATGTCAGCTATCCAAAGCTAAACACAGAAAAATTTCCATGTAATTTGCTAAGGGCTCGCTAGCAATCCGGAATTGAAATCTAAGTTGTATGATACATTCTACTGCGATGACTGACTGAAAAGAAATGTTACAGTTACAGTACATTAGACTTGTGTTATGTTAGATTAATTAGACATACACTATGTAGATATATCAATGATATATATTACTGTACTATAATAATCAAGGTAACATTTTTTACCTGTTCCATGACTTCAGGAGCCATCCAACATGGGGTACCAACAAAAGTTTTTCTGACTTTATTCCGTGTAACATCACCCCCTGTTGCTAAGAATGCACTTACTCCAAAATCTGGAAAGAAGAAAAAAAAAATCAACCTTACTTTATGTTCTGTATGGTGTATAAATTCTGATCTCAATCCCATCTCTCCCTGGTGGGCCTTAGGATGGTGACAAATAGCTGCAAACACGTGTGTTCATGAAATAAGCCAGGGTTTTCCTGACCTCTGCCATCTGCTATCATCAATACTGCAGAAATGCTGTTAGAGGTAATGGGCCAGCAAGTTCCCCATGCTTGCTTCCTACTAAAAAGGTACCAAAAGTCACTACTAGTTTTAAAAATACAATACCATTGAAAGCATAAACACATTTCAAAAGCCCTGGATATAAAATATCTTGGCTTCATCTAAGTTTCTTTTTTTTTGCTAATCATTAACAAGAATACAACTGGAAAAAGTAAGAGTAGAATGAGATAGAGTTATTTTTATATTTTTGTTGTGATTTTCTAGTCCATTTAATTCCAAGCTATCCATGTCCAAAAAGTTAAATTTTTTAAAGAAAAAAAAAAGGAATCCATTCCATATCATCGTGTCCTAGACTAAGCAGTATATACTAATACCTGGAGCAAAATCCTAAAAGCAAACCCACACACAAATTACACAAAACGCAAAGCAAGCCTCGTTTTGTCCTTATGCCACGACCACACAAAGGAAAGGCTGAGTCAGCAAAGAGTGGGTTTTTTTCCCAAGGTTTGCTTCCTGGATAACTTTCGTAAGTGTGGATGGAATGGTATGTAGAATTAAAATAATCTCTTGCTTTATTCCATTGATTACTGTGTGTGGACATGAGTGGATGTGTCTTCGTACATTCACGCATGTGCATGCACCTGAGTGTATCAATGTAGGGTATGGTGTACTTGTGGAGGTCGGAGAACAATTTTCAGGAGTTGGTTCTCTCTCCACCATATTGAGGCATTGTCTCTCTTGCTGTTTCTGCAGCACTGCCTACCATAGGCTAGCTGGCTCACAGAGTTGCAGGTTTTTCTCCACCTCCCACTTCACCATGGGCTCACTGGGATTACTGACACACTCTAGCATATCAGGCTCTTATGCATGAGTTCAAGGGATCGAACTCAGATCCTTCAGGCTTGTGTGGCAAGCACTTTTACCCACTGAGCCATCTCACTGGCCAGAAACATGATACTCTTCCTAATACTCATTATCTATTAGAAATTTGGTACGTGAGCTTAGTTTGGTATACTATACATGCGTATAGACAAATATGCAAAACTAATTTCCGTAATGGACAGTGCTGAACAGCTACTGCTTATTACTGCACACATCCTCGTTTATATTTCTGCATGTAGAGTAAAAGTAGTTTATGAATTAAAGAACCAACTGCTCTGGACTAAACTACTTCTCGGTAGCAGCCATGGCAAGTATCCCTGGAGAGTGAAGTGGTAGACAGAAAGGTCAGGGTGCACTGGTGTGTGCTTTTAATCCCAACACTTGGGAGGCAAAGGCCACCCAGGGCCACATAGCAAGTCCCAGGCCAGCCAGGGTTACATAGGAAGACCTTGCCTGCCAAAAAAAAAAGGGGGGTAGCCAACAGATAGCACAATGTAGGATACTACGCGCAGTATGATCATTGCAATACTGCTCTGATATAATTCCCTTTGGCTGGTCCCCTTTGTTGATTGTCAAGATCACGCAGTTACAAAGAACATCTGCCAGCACAAACCGACACCAAAAGCCTATGGGGGTCTGCTTTAGATCTGCAGCACTGCTACGCACAGGTATGATTTAGTAGCCCTGTAACTAGTCCCCTAAGTGGAAATATGCTGACTTTGTTTACAGTTAAAATATATTCAACTCCCAACAGGACATTGATTACAAGTAAAGGAAATGGAAATGGAAAGACGGCATCTTTGGTCCGCATGCTCCTTGTGTGTTAATATCGAACAAAGGTTTTGTTTGAAAATGCCATACAATTTCATTCGCATGTGTGGCTCCTGCTCTGAAATTCTTTGAATGTCTGTACTGCAGGAGCTCACAGAGGAGTCATGTGAACTGTCACGTGCCTACTACCCATGGTTAAAGGATGTGACTATTCTAAGGCTTTTAAAAATATAAATTTCAATTTTATTTGTATTTCCCAAACAGAAGTTGAAAAAAGAAATCAACACTCTATTTTTATTAAAATGATCTTATAATACTATAACATTAAATAAATATATATTATCTATAAATAATGACATGTACAAAGTCCACTTTGAGGAAAAATTAGATTCTTACACTAAAGGCATTTAAAGATGTGAGCCAACTAAACTATAGCTATTACTTTTCAATTCCTGAAAATTCTACCTGCTTACAGGATACATTTGAAAAGCTAGAAAAACAGCTGAGAAAGATACATAGTAGCAATTAAACATTGATAATACATCTTCCATGAATCACATGAGTCACATACTTATTCACAGCGTCGGCTCAGAACATCTACTTTAAAGTCAAAAACAGATGGCTAAATGTCTTTAGAGCTCAGGAAAAAAAAAAATTCCAGGAGCAGAAAACACCAATGCCAACATCCACTCTCCATTACAACTGCAGAATAGTTACATTTTGCTTCTATGTATGGCTAATATGTACACAGAACATTTTATCTGTTCTGAGGAACAGAGCCTTTGACAAAAGAACATAGTGTACTTATACAAACAGGAGCACCGGGTATACTCCGTTCTGTTCAGACAGCATTCATGTGACAGTGAGAACAAGTGTGGGGGCGGGGAGTGGGAAGCTGGGTTTTCCTAGGGGCACCTGCATACAACTGAAGGGCCTGGGACCAGATACTCTTGGGTCAGAAATCATGCACATCTTTCTGGCAACAGAGAGTCAAAAGCTACACATGAATTCAGCCAGTCCACCTTTGTGCCTCTGCAGGACATGGGTAAAGCCTGTTAAAGAGACTTTCCCCTTAGGATGAAGTCAAACCCCTTTAGACTAACACATAAATATCAACCCCTTCCTCTCCGGCACCATTGGTCACTGCTCCCAGATCTAACTAGAACCTCCTGCCTCACCAAAACGTTTCTGCTGATCTCAGTAGCTCCTAGCATTCCCAGAGCTGCCTCCACATGTGATGCTTGTAGTCCACATACAGGGTTCCCTCCACAGCTCTACTGAAGGCAGAAACAGCAAAGGGCAGTCTAGGAGTCCTTAGTGACAGAGGCATCCCTGGCATCTTGATCCTTGGCGATTCCTTGGATCTACATTCATCAAGCCTGCCTATTCTGTCAAGCATCATTTGTGTTACTTGGTCATCATTTGGTCATCATCCTAGATGGATATATAACTAGAAAGCCTTGAAGAGGATCTGCAGCATTGGAGCCATCTGATTTTGAGACTACCATACACTAAGAGACAGACGGTAGATATCACGATATACAAGACTAACTCCTCAACTGTGTGACTCATAACCTTCCTGGACCTCTGTTTTCTTACCAGATTTCTCATTTGGGCCTAGTTTTCTGTTGCTTTCATTTTAGAACTTTATCCTACATCCTCTCTCCCCATATGTAAATTTTCCTTAGGGTGAATGGCAGCTTACTGGTCTCACCTTTTAACAAATAGCGTTCAGTGGGCCATGGGGGAGGGTCAGCATCTGCACGCTTCAGGAGCAGACATGAAGTATGAATGAGAAAGATCTGCTTATGGAGATTAAGATATTACCATCTCAGGAGGAGAAGACCTGAAATAATACACAGCAGCACAGCGTGTCTGTGTGGGAGAACACACGAGCTATAACTGTCACCATAGACAATATCTAAAACGGGCCTTGGACCCGGCCTTGGAAGTGAGGGGAGGGAGGAGTTGGACAGGTAAGCTAATGGGAAGCCAATCCCAGACAATGGCACAGTGTGGGCAAAGCCCAAGCTCAGAGCCAAGAAGGAAAAAGTGTCTGACAGCTTCTAGGGTGGGAAAGTCAAGTATCTACAGGGGTCGTAAGAAAACTGCAAGGAGACCAGGTCCTGAGAATCACAGTTCCCGAGATTAAGGACAGCTGGTACTCAGCCTTGGTGCTAGGAGGGCTGAGTCCCTACAGGGAGTCCTGGCGCTCACTCTCAGCAACCTCCCACCCAGGTCTCCAGCAAGCTTCTGCCTCTCAGCTAGAGGAGACGGAAACAGACCTGCTGGGCTCATTTCCCAGAGAAAACAAACACCAGTGTCTTTAAGGAAACACTTCTTTGTTGTTTTCACTGTTGGCAACAAATGCACATTAAAAAAAAAAAAAGACAGCAAAACAATGGGAAGAGCAAACTCGCCTTTCTGATTTAGTCTGCAAAACTAGTCGGCCAGTGATGCTGTTATAACGTCTAAAATCGACAGTACAGTATGACATTCTACTCGTAATATCATAGCCTGGGGGGTCAGCTGGCCTTCTAATGAAGACCCAGGAGGGATCCTGGGAGCCCGTGGTGATCAGAGGCCACCACAAACATTCCTATTCTCTATATCTAAATTTAGAAAAGTATGAGCCAGGTCAAATGCCAGGGATATATGATCAGGACGATCAGTGACCTGTCCAGAAACCTGATGGATGCTGGAAAACAGCTTTTACTGGTGACAGTAGAGGAGTTCAGCACAGAAAAGCTGTTAAAGCATTTGAGCTTTTCTTCACCTTGAAAGAAAGAAAGAAAGAAAGAAAGAAAGAAAGAAAGGAAGGAAGGAAGGAAGGAAGGAAGGAAAGGAAGGAAGGAAGGAAGGAAGGAAGGAAGAAAGAAAGAAAGAAAGAAAGAAAGAAAGAAAGAAAGAAAGAAAGAAAGAAAGAAAGAAAGAAAGAAAGAAAGAGAGAGAAAGAGAGAGAAAGAAAGAGAGAAAGAAAGAGAGAAAGAAAGAAAAAGATCCCAGTCTGGCCAGATGCAGACTCACTCCCCGGTATTCCTGTGTAGATCTGGCTCACTGATGCCAAATACAAGGCAAGACCTGCCTGTGGATTCTTGGTGTGCCTGCCACAAGAGAATTTCTCATCCACCTACGAGGGATCAAGACCAGGGATTTCCCTAAGCTGACAGGACAG